TCCCTCAGGACCCGCAGATGTATCTCATCAGGTCCCATGGACTTGTGCACCTTCAGGTTCCTCAGGTGGTCTTGCACTTGATCTTCAGCTACAGTGGGCAGTTCTCCATTTTCCCAATCCTCACCTTCACATTCTGCGTCATGGGCAGTGCGGCTGCAGTCCTTGCCAGTGAAGACTGAGGCAAAAAAGTCACTGAGGACCTCAGCTCTGTCTCTGTCCTGGGTAACCAGTTCTTGCATTTCCTTCTGGAGATCATTTCAGGGGGTGAAGGACATTCAAAAGGACATTCAAAGCAAATGACAACATGGGTGAAATGTCTCCTAATCTATGCACATTGATCCATGCTTGTGAAGAAGAAGAAAGCTTATATATATGGCTGTTAACTTTGCCTTCATCATTGCTTTCCTTTCATATATGGAGGTGTTATTAGTAGAGAGCCATTCAAATGAATGGAAAATTAGAGTATGGGAAAATCCGAGGGGCAAGAAAGTGGCTCACTCTTTATTCGTTCATTGCAGAACACGGCTGTATGATCTACAGATTTTTAAGGGCCGTATATTAAAATTCTGGAGAATCTTTCTTTCTTTCTTTCCCCCCTCATGTACAGCATACTTGAGAACTCATCTGTAGAGTGATTGAGCTTGTCCTGGTTTGTATATCTAATTAAAACACAGAAAACACATCTTGACCTCTGTAATAACTGACTGAAGAACTGGTTGAAGAATTTTCTCCTGGGAAATGTGTACACACATAGTTTTTTATTTCAAAGAACACCATATTGTTCTCTAGGTAAGTTTCAGCAAGATCTAGTGCACATGCTGTCTTTCCTAGAGTAGCTTTTCCACTCAGACACATTTTATGAGTAGGTCTGAAAGAGCAAATGAACTAATTAATGTTTCAAATATTTGAGCTTACAATAAGCAGTAAAGTTATTTAGAGAGCTTCTTTACAGTGATTCATTCAAAAATGTTTTTACTTAGCCACTTAAATTTATTTCATTCCCTTAATAGTTAAATTAAAATCTGAGACGACTTCGTATGCACCATAAACCAGCTGAATCACTTTCTTTTTCTTTAAATAATTCTTTCACTTCTCACATCTACTTGGAACTAATTATTTCCTGCAGCTCTGCCAATCATATATTTTTATTTCAAAGCCTGTTATGCAGAAGGCTATTACCACTAGGTTCTATCATATAAAGGTCAAAGCTAGGTTGAAATAAAATTATACGAGATGAGAAAACACAGATAATGCTGCTGAGCAACTTCTTCACCAACCAAGTGAACTCAGAAGTTAAGGAATATTTAATTCTCTCAAAAGCACAGGACATTAGCAATAAGAAAATTAATATAACATTGAATTTAAGTCAAGGACATACTGAATAAAAGCAATATTGGAGGAAGAGGACTTTTTCTTTGTGATTAAGACACTGCTGTAATTACAAAAGATATTGCTAAAATACAATGCATTTATCCCAGACAGATCCAAAACCTTCAAGTGGTAAAATCCTAACTTCTAGCAAATAAGTAGGAGGATAACGTAGGCTGTTATAAATAATTCACAAACCTTGACAAAAACAGGAAGAGATTATTTAGTATATAAACCACACATTTAAAAGTTGTCCAAAACCAAGACATGGATGCGTGTACAATCTAAATAAATACCAATACATTTTAGGCAATATAGATGTTTTATTAATTTAAGCATTTAGCTGTTTGATATTTTATTTCAATATGCAAGTTTTTACTTGTCTGAGAAGGATGAGGGTCACCACTGCCTAACAGCATAGTTACTGGAGTGCATTAGATGGTAATTTCTGTTCTAGACATTTTTAACCTAAAATAAGTTTGTTAGCAAAGGACAAACCAAAATTAACAACTAGCATGTGTTTCCTATCTATGCTAGAATGTTACACTTCCCCCTCATAGTAATTAAAATGTATCCTGAAGCAAAATTTCATTTAGACAAGGCTCAAGAGAGTAGTCATCTGTTGAATCAACAGCTCTTCCTCGGGCAGCTGAATCGCCGTCACCTGTTGACACTTTGTGCATTGCACTAAGAGGTCACAGCATGAAGTGAGCTTGCAATAGATGTGGCACTTTAAAACATTGTTTTGATTTTAAATACAATTCCCCACACATCCTCAAAACATAAAATCTCTACAGAGCTTTGAAATCCACCCTGGACTGAACATTTCTAAATTTAAACTTACAATATTTCAAGTCAACTTCCCAACAGAACCCATACACAATTTAGTCACAAGAGAACCTAGTGTACCATAAAAGAAATACACTTTTTAAAAAACCTAAAAAACAGGGTCTGCAGCTCATTTAATATCCATTGTCTTGAGGGGGTTGGTGGAAGGCAATTTATTTGCTGAAAGGAGCTAAAAATAAAAACAAAGGAGAAAAAAAAATCACAGTTCCAATAACATTCCTCCAGATAGGTGCTGACAGACTGAATTTGGTCAATCATCAGGCTGTAGCTCCTGCCCTCCACCCAGTTCAGAGATCTCCGTATTGATGGCACAACCTCATGCTGATATGGCTACAAGGGCTGGTGAGTAATTCAAATCCCAGGTCACTAAGTACAGGAAGACGGCAGGAATCACTGAGACAGGTGTAATGGAATTTCTGCTGCACACCCTGTATCAGTCCCCTCTTTCTCCACAAGGAGAAAGGTACCCTTGAGGAGGTACCATCACCCTCCAGGTTTAAGTCACCCTTCCCTTGCCTCCAAGGTTGACTTCGTGGCTACAGCTCAGTAAATGCAGTGAGACTTAGATGGAAAGTCCTTTACCTAGATGGATGCAGTACAGATAACAAAAAAGGGTATGCAGGTGCTAAATCCCATAAAAGCACTTTCTCTTAGAATTTGATATTTATCTGGCTTTTTCCCAATGCAGCTATAGTAAAAAGAAAAATAAGGCCTGGGCCTCTGTACACAGCTGATAACTGGCTTGGGCCAGCATAAACTGAGATTATTTATTACCTTCCTTCATGAGATATGGTTCGAAGTCTACCTGCCAGCAAAGCGCGCTCCACTTGCTTCCCCAGAGCAGTAACTTAGACATGAATAATTCAGCACATACACACATATACGTTCCACGCACGTCTTCACTTATTGAGCCATAGCGGAACATATGTCACAACTGTCTTAGCTTTAATGATTTTGAGACAAGAATAAAGAATAAGCGCAGGCTGATATTCTACCCTGTGT